GCAACGATCTAAGACAATTCCAAAAGACTCATGATAGAAAATGCTTTCTACATCCAGAGAAAGAACTATGGAGTCTGAATGCAGATTGAAGCATACTATTTTCTTTCTTTTTTAAAAAAATTATTAATTTGTTTTGATTTATCAATAATCACTTTCATATACTTTTGAGTTTAAAATTTTTCTCCCCCTTCCTCCCTACCACCTTCCCCAAGGCAGTGCACAGTCTGATATAGGCTTTCCATTTACATTCCTATTAAACATATTTTCACATTAGTGATGTTGTAAGTAAAATTTAAAACCAATAGGAGGAACCATCAAAAAGAGGAAACAAAACTCAACAGAAGAGAAAAAAAATAGCAATTCAACTTCCATAGTTCTTTCTCTGGGGATGGATGGCATTTTTCATCATGAGTCCTTTGGAATTGTCTTGGATAATTGTATTGCTGAAAATAGGTCATTCACAGTTGATCATCCTATGATATTGTTATTATGTACAATGTTTTTCTGACTCTGCTCACTTCACTTTGCATCAGTTCATGTAAGCCTTTCCAGGTTTTTCTGAGAGCATCCTGCTTGTCATTTTTTATAGTACATGGTATTCCATTACATTCATATACCACAGCTTGTTCAGCCATTCCCCAATAGACAGACATTCCTTCAATTTCTAGTTCTTTGCCACCACAAAAAGAGCTGCAATAAATATTTTCTTGGAAAAATAGGTATACGAATACACTGTTGGTGAAGTTGTGAACTGCTTCATTCATTCTGGAGAACAATTTGGAACTATGGCCAAAGGGCTATAAAACTCTGTATATGCTTTGATCCAGCAACATCACTACTGAGTCTGTATCCTAAAGAGATCAAATAAAAAGGAAAAGGACCAAACCATCATTTAACAAAGAAGGAAACTGAGGCCAGGGGAGGGAAAGTACTTCTACAAGGTTACACATAGGACCCTAAATCTTTTTTTTTTGAACTTTATTAATTTATTTTGATTTATCAATAATCACTTCCATATGCTTTTGAGTTTAAATTTTTTCTCCCCCTTTCTCCCCACCACCTTCCCCAAGGCAGTGCACAATCTGATATAGGCTATACATTTACATTCCTAATAAACATATTTTCATATTAATGAAGTTGTAAGTAAAAATTAAAACCAATAGGAGGAGCCATCAGAAAGAGGAAACAAAACTCAACAGAAGAGAAAAAAAAAATAGCAATTCAACTTCCATAGTTCTTTCTTTGGATGTGGATGGCATTTTCCATCACGAGGCCTCTGGAGATGTCTTAGATCATAGGACCCTAAATCTAGAGCTGGAAAGGACCTCAGTGGGTAACTGGTTCAACACCCTCTTTTCACAAAGAAGGAAATTGATCCCTTATAGGGAAAGGGACTTGTCCAAAATTAATCAGAGAACTTTAACTTTAGATCTGGAAGGGAACTAAGAGGCCAGTTAATGAAATTCCTTCATTTTACAAAGGAAGAAACTGAGGTCTAGAGAGGGCAAGGGACTTGTCCAAAGTCATACAAATGACTCTAAATCTAGAGTTGGAAGGGCCCTCAGAGACCACTTAATCCATGTCCCTCATTTGACAGAGGAGGAAGCTGCGGTTCATGGAGGGGATGGAGATATCCAAGGCACACATAGGCCCCTAAAGCTAGAGCTGGCAGAGGCCAGGTTTTTTTTTTTTTTTAGGGCAATTGAGGTTAAGTGACTTGCCCAGGGTTACACAACTAGTAAGTGTCAAGTGTTTGGTCTGAGGCCAGATTTGAACTCAGGTACTCCTGACTTCAGGGCCAGTGCTCTATCCAGGTGCTCTATCCACTGTGCTCCTCTCAGAGGTCAGTTTTACAGAGGGCTTAGCTGAAGCCTAGAGAGGGGTAGGTATTTTTCCAAGGTAACACAAAGGACCCAGAGCTGGAAATAACCTCAGAGGCCACTTAATCCAAAGTCCTCATTGTACACATAAGGAAACGGAGACCTAGAGAAGGTCATTGATTTTTCCAAAGTTATATATCATATCATATTGCGAGAGATGATCTCTCAGAAGCGAAGGCTCCTCTGAGAGTCAATGGCTCTTGTTAATTGTTCTTGACTGTTGCTTTCAAAACCCTCTCCCCCATCAGACCCTGTTTTTAAGTACTTAGCAGAAAGAATAGTCTGCCTCCAACCTGAACTGCTTGCCCTTGAAAAGCTTCCCCCTTTTCTTGTCTCTGGGCAAATTTGTGTCTCCGTGAATAGATTGTACCCTTGAAAGCCCAGCCAATGGGAATAAGGGGAAGGGGGTTAAGGAGGAGGAGCTCGAGTTAGGGTATAAATAAGTCTTTATTTCTGTAAGGAACTTGTACTCTCCTGGCCTGAAATGGCGACTAAGAGGGTACCCTTTCTCATGACAAAGCAATAAACTCCTTTCTACTTTCAAGGTATCTAAGTCTTCGTTTTCATTTTTGAGTAAGTGGTCTCTGTCCCACACAATATCCTAAATCTAGAGCTGGAAGTGATCTCAGAGGTGATTTAATACAACTCCCTTATTTTACAGAGGAAAAAAAATTCTGCCCCTGGAGGGCAAGGGACTTGACTAAGGTCACACATAAGACCTTACTTTTAAACCTGGAAGGGACCTCAGAGGCCACTTAATCCAAAGTCCTCATTTTAGAGAGGAGGAAACTGAGGCCCAGTGAGGGAAAATGTCTTGCATATAGTTGCAGAGGTGGTAATTAGCAGAACTGAGCCTTGAATCCAGGCCTCTTTTCCCCCTCTACGCTCAGGACCCCTCTTCTTTGTCCTCCAATCTTGGCTGTCTCTACCCTTTATCCCTTTCTTCTCCCACTCCAGTGTTCCTTAGCCTGTGACCCATTTCCACCAACCCTTGATCTTACAAAATATCTGGTATGCCCCCTCTCTGCCAGCTTACATCCTACTCATCCTTCAAGGCTCACCTCAAATATCACCTCTTCCATGAAGCCCTTCCTGATCAGTCCCAGCTGGAAATTCTCACTTTCATCTGATCTCATCCTGCTTTATATGTTTCTTAGACACTTATCACAGCATAATTTGTATGATAGTTATTTATGTACTTTTCTCATCTTCCTACTAGATTACAAACTCGTGGTGTGACTTTTTAGAGATAGAATGGTATAATGGAATGGGAGTTGGTCCTGGCAGCAGGAGCCTTAGATTCATATCCCAACTTGGCTATTTCCTAGCACAGGTGATAGGGCGCTAGACCAGGAGTCAGGTAGACTTGGGTTCAAAACCTACCTCAGATAGTAAGTGACCTTGTACAAGTCACTTAGTCTATTAGTCTCAGTTTCACCACCTGTCAAGTAGGAGGAAGTGGGCTAGAGGGTGGTTGAGGGCTTTTGATCTCAGAGCCAATGTATCCTCTGCCAACTCCCTGGGGCCTTAACTCTTTGAGTGAAGAACTTTGCTAAGTCTCAGCTGGTAGAACCTCCCTGATATGTTCACACTCCCAGCTTCCCCCAGACTGCTCTGAGAATAATGCTTTGTAAACTTTTAAGTGCTAAAACAAAGGAGTTATTAGATTTATTAATATTTACCTTTGTATTTCCCTAGGGCTGAACAGAGGGCCCAGCATCCAGTTAAGTACCTAATTAATGTTTGCTGACTGAATGAATTAGGTAAGTGAGTGAGAGCTGGAGCCTACCTCCCGCCAGGCTTATTTGCATTTCAATCAGGGACTGCACCAGTAGAGCTTCAGCACCCAAAGGGACCTAGGCGTGGATTTTGACCTTTTCTTCTTAAGTTGCTGGTTTGGGGCTGGCACACTCCCTATCAATCTAAAGCATTAAAGAAATATAAGTTGTTGTTGTTATTGTTGTTGCTGTTGTTATAATATCTTAAGTCACACTTGTCCCTTGACTGAGTACTTCCAGGCCCTCCACCTCTTTTCTCCTTCCCTCACCTCATAGGGATATTGGCTTAGAACTGAAAGAGAACTCGGAGGAGAAAGATAGGAAAGGATTGAAAAAAAATTTTTAAACGTCAAGAGCAGCCCCCCCCCAAAAAAAAACCCAACCTAATAAAATCAATAATCAATTAGCTTACTGAGTGCTATACTTTATAAGACTTTTTCTGCATCCAAATATTTTTGTGTTTGGCTTTGTTTTTTGTTTGTTTGTTTGTTTTTATATGATTGGAGGGAGCTGAACCTGGTATAGGGAACTTTCAGGTGAGGAAACACCCTTTCATGCAGTTTGGCACCTTGTCTATAACTTGGAGTCTTAGGAAGTTGCCTAGACTCTAGGCAAAACTTATTTTTACAGAGGGGAAAACAGACCTAGAGATCTCCCGACTACAAACCTAGCACTCAGGGGAGGAGTCCGTCCCATACATGTCCTTCCAGGACACCGACCACTTCCTTAGCAGAGTCGTGTGTGTGTGTGTGTGTGTGTGTGTGTGTGTGTGTGTGTGTGTGTGTGTGTGTTCCTGTTCCTGTGTTTGTGTGTTTATGGGACAAGAGGTGGGGCAGTCATCAGGAACACATGAGCTCATTCCTTCCAGGAAAGGAATGTTCTACTTTTTTCTGTTTCTCAAGTTGGACTTTGAGATTCCTCTGCTAAGCCTCTATGGCTCTCTGGCAGCCAGCAGGAGAGATACGTTCAAATAACTGGAAGGGGAATTTGAAGACAAACAGGAAGTATCTGTTTGCAGACAGACAAGTTCTTTACTGCGTCCTCCCCTCCTCCCACCCTTTTCACTTGCTGTTTTTACAGGACAGGGATCTTAGTCCAACTCTCCCCGCTGCCCTTCCACTTTAGAGATTAGGAAACAATGTCTGGGTGATGGAATATTCTGATGGAACTTTAATAATGTGTGTGTGTGTGTGAGAGAGAGAGACAGAGACAGAGACAGAGACAGAGACACAGAAAGAGAGAAAGAGAGAATAAGAGAGAGAGAAGAGAGAGAGAGAAGGAGAGAGACAGAGAGACAGAGAGAATCATGTGCCAGGCCCTGTACTAAGTGCTGGGAATACCAAAAAAGGCAAAAGCCCCTGCTCTCAAGGGGCTCACCTTCTAATGAGGAGAAGCAAGAGGCAAATGCAGCTGTGTACAAACAAGGTAAATTGGAGATAATCAACAGTGTGTGTGTGTGTGTGTGTGTGTGTGTGTGTGTGTGTGTGTGTGTTTACTACTTTTTGCCAAGAGACATCAATTCAGTTGTTAGGATCATATATTTAGAGCTGGATAGTACCTTAGAGGTCACTGAGTCCAACCCCCTCATTTTACAGGTGAAGAAACTGAGGGCCCAGAGAGGTGAGGTGACTTGTCCAGGGTCACATAGCCAGTAAATGACAAAGCTAGAATTTGAACTTGGCCTCCAAGTACAGTGCTTTCTATCTGTTACACCACACTGTCTCAATTCAACAGGCATTTATGAAATACCTACTCTGTGCCAAGCACTACACTAGGAGATGGAGTTAAAAAGACAGAAATGAAAACAGTCTGCTCTCAAGGAACTTACTGGGAAGCTGGCACTTTCCAGCTAGTGCCAGGGCCTGAGGAGACCCAGTGGATCTGGTCCAATGCCCCTCCTCCTAGGAGGGAGAAAGGAAAATGAAAATTAACCTAAAGGGAAAGTAAAAACCAGTGTGGTTGGGAGAGTGAAACTTACTAGAGAGAGTGACCTCAAGGTCAAGAGCACTTTCTCCCCAGCCTCAGGCAGCAGTTTCTGTTCCCAGAAAGAGAAAGCCAGAAACAGAACCAGCCTGGAAAAAAAACAAAACAAAACAGAGAAAAGGGCCACTTATTTCATGAAAGATAGTGTTGAAGGAAGAGATAGAGGGGAAAGATGTCTGAGTAAAGTGAAAAGAGGTTGGAGGTAAACTTCCTGGCTCCAGACCCGAGGTTCTATCCACTACAACACCCAGCTTCCACTTAGCAAGGGAGTGGGAAGTGGAGGATGGGGAATCCCCCATCTGGGGACTTCTGAATCACTGAAATGGTGGGAATATGCTAAGCATTAAGGAATGAGTCCAGGAAAAGCATCATTGATTAGAAAGAAATCTGCCAAGGAAAGCAGGTATAGGTGTATGGGATCCTGGGCTGGTGCGGGTGATGGGGAAGGCCCTGGGGCAAAGACTGAGGCTCAGTGCCCTGGGAAGCCCTGGGTGGAAGACTGGGATTCACTTTCAGAAGGCCCAATTTGAGCTGTCTCCAAGGCCACCTCCAGAGGCTGTGGACTTTCTCATGATTAGAGGTCTTTGAGCAGAGGCAGGACAACCATGTATTGAGTGTGTCATCGAAGTATTCTTCAGAGACAGGGACTAGGGCCAAGGAACCTGTAGATCTCCCCAAATAGAGATGTGATTGTGTGACCCTCTTTTTTTTTTTTAAAGGCAATTGGGATTAAGTGACTTGGCCAGGGTCACACAGCTAGTAAGTGTCAAGTGTTTGGTCTGAGGCTGGATTTGAACTCAGGTCCTCCTGACTTCAGGGCCAGTGCTCTATCCATTGAGCCACCTCGCTGCCCCTGTGACCCTCTTCTAAGGAGTTTGCCCTGGGCAGGAATTTGGATAAGATGCTCTCTGAGGGCCTTTCAAACGCTAGAATTTTATAATCATTTGGACAGTGTCTTCAAGTGAGAAGGAAAGGGATGAATCAGAAGGCTTGGGTTTAAATTTCAACTATTACCAACTATGTGATTGTGAATAAGTCCCTTCGTCTCTTTGGCCTCAGTTTCCTCAGCTGTAAAATGAGAGTCTTGGACTGGTTGGTCAGTAAAATCCCCTTCTGTGCCAATATTTTCTGATCCTTTAGAATTCTCTAACCTGGGGGATCATTTATTGAGTTTTACATAAACTTGAGAAATGTAGTGATGCACTTTGGACACCAGATGGCAACCAATGAACACAGGAAAATCCACTAAAGGCCTTTCAAGTTGGAAGAAAGGAACCCCCCCACCCCCAATCCAGGAAGAACAGCAGATCTTGCTGAACTGGGGGCCTTTGCCTTGACCCCAGGACGAAAGGACCCGAGCAGAGGGCCATAGGCCTGGGGACCAGAGAGATCAAGAAGGAGGCAAATCTGATCCAATTTGGGCCACCACACAAGCTCAGTGACAAATTGTCGCCACTTAGACCTTTCCTTAGATGTCCTCCTAGAAGTCAGAAGGACCCAGGGCCTGACCCCAGACCACATGAGATATCTAGGGAAGGCACAGGCATGTCATATGAGGTCTTGACTGCCAGGCACACTGCCAGGGCCCCAAGAGCATGGGGAGACAAGAGGAAAAGCCCAAACACTGCAAGCCAAACACTGAGCCTCTTAGAGTCAGTTTCCTATCCTGTAAATTCCACGGAGGTGAGTGAAAGCAGTGGTGACAGAGGGAACTTGGCAACTGATCGGGCGGGAGTTGAGGAGAGCCAGGCCAGCTGACATATGGCAAGGCTTCAAGCTGGCAGATGCCCATGCCGACACTTTCTGTCACTTTGGATTGCCAAGGGCCTCTGACATAGGCACATCTAAGAGAATCAGGACGAGCTCCGAGTGCTTTCAAGAGCCAGCTGTTGCTGCTGACCTTGGGACAGGGAGTCACCACTGCCCAACTCTTTGATGTATTCTGTGCCTAAGACTCAAGGCTAGTCACAGTAAGGCCTTTAACCTCCACATACAAGACAAACAAGACATAGTGAAACCAAAAGTGAAACCCAGGGAAAGCTGTTCAGGTCGCCAGACTGCCCAGAACCTCACTGTTCTGCTAGGAAGTTTCACCTGGCTCTCTGGGTCTCCAATTTAATAACAGTGGCTCCCAAAGCATGAATTAGCCCTGCTTTTATAAACTGGCTACAGGCTGTCTTAGAGGGAGAGACACCCCCGTCAGGATTATTGGTAATATCTTTCTGCATCTCTCCTTCTTCTCACTCACATTCCCTCCTCTCCACCCTAATTCAGGGCTTCCTAATTGGTCTTTCGGCCTCTAGTTCTTCTCCCTTTAATCCATCACAGCATGGGCATATGCATCATAGCTGCCAAACTAGTATTCCCCAAACAGGCCTGACCACGCCATTCCAGGGACACTAGGATTAAATATGGACTTCTCTTTGGCATTTGCAGACTAACTCCAAACTGGCTTCCTTGCTATTTCTCAAACCCAACACTTCATATCTCATCTCCATGCCTTTGCAAGGGCTCTCCTTACTGGCCTAGAATGCATTCCCTCCCTTCCTCTCACCTCTGCCTCTTAGAATCCCTTAGTTTATTTCAGAGCTCAAATACTGCCTCCTATCTAGTCTTCTCTGATTCCCTTCCTACTCTCCACCCCCAGTTGCTAGTTCCTTACCTTACCTGATAGAGAATTCTTATATTCTAAAACTAGAACCTTGCCTCTGGCTACTTCAATTCATAGTTTTAGTTGGAAATTTAGTTGGCATTTACATGGGAACCTCTGGTTTTGACCCTACTTCCATATTTGATGGCCTCTCCAGCTTGTGGAGCTGGTTGCGCATTTCTTACTGTTGGCTGGTTACAGTATACTCCCAACTTCCTCTGTGCTGGTTACTTTTTTTTTAATAGTAAAGAGTATTTAATTTTTTCTAATTACATGTAAATATAATTATCAATATTCATTTTTTATAAGATTTTGAGTTCCAAATTTTTTCTCCCTCTCTCCCTCCCCAAGATGGCAAGCAATCTGATATTGGTTATACATGCACAATCATGCTGAACATATTTTCACGTTAGTCATGTTGTAAAAGAAGAAACAGAAAAGAGAAAAGCCATGAAAAACAAAAAAAAAGTGAAAATAGTATGCTTTGAAATCTGCATCGAGACTCCATAGTTCTTTCTCTAGATGTGGATAGTATTTCCCATCTTTTGGAAATGTCTTGGATCATTGCATTGCTGAGAAGAGCTAAGTCTATCAAAGTCAGTCATCGAACAGTGTGGCTGTTACTGTGTACAATGTTCTCCTGGTTCTGCTTGTTTCACTCAGCATCAGTTCATAAAAGTCTTTCCAGGTTTTTCTGAAGTCTGCCTGCTCATCATTACTTATATGTGCTGGTTACTGTTGTCCTACTCCCATTCCTTTGATCAGCACCATGAACTCCAGTGGGGCATTAGTGTGCCCCAGGGCCCCTATGGAGAAATTCACCAACCTGGTTACTCCCTCCTCCTCTCTTCCTTACTATATCCTGTAACTCTCAGAGGATTTCTATTTAGAAAGAATTTTATAGAGATCATCTTACCCAACTCACCTCATTTTAGACATTAAAGAGAAGTGAAGGCTAGGGGCAGCTAGGTGGCGCAGTGGATAGAGCATCTGCCCTGAAGTCAGGAGGACCTGAGTTCAAATCTGACCTCAGACACATAACAGCACTAGCTGTGTGACCCTGGGCAAGTCACTTAACCCCCATGCCTAGCCAAAAACAAAAAAAGTGAAGGGATTTACGTAAGTTCATACAGGTACCAAAGGGACAGAAGCTGGTACTTTGGTTCTAAACCCAAGGTTCTTTCTAGCACATCAGGGCTGCCTTTGTGTTCCTTCTCAGACATCATACATAGGATGAGCCGTCAGCATCTACCCATCTACTTGTTCATATGAGGTAATCAGATAACCAGAGGATATTAGAGCTGGAAGGACCCTTAGAACTCAAGTTCAACATCTTCATTTTAGGGCAGCTAAGTGGTGTGGTGGGTAGAGCTTGGGCTTGGAATCAGGAAGATGTGAGTTCGAATCCTGCCTCAGACACTTACTAGCTGGGTCACTCTGGACAAGTCAGTTAGCCTCTGACTGTCTTTGTTTCCTTATCTGTAAAATGGGGATGATAAATAATAACTATTTAATTGGCTTGTTGCAAGGCTCAAATGAGATAATAATTGTAAAGCACCTAACATGGTGCCTGGCACACAGTAAGTGCTGTATAAATGTTCTCTTTTGTTGTTTCAGTACTGTCCAACTCCTTGTGATCCCATTTGGGGTTTTCCTGGCCAAGATACTGGAATGGTTTGCCATTTCCTTCCCCAGCTTATTTTGTAGACGAAGAAATTGAGGCAAATAGGGTTAAGTGACTTGTCCAGGGTCACACAGCTAGTAAGTGTCAGAAGCCAAACTTGAACTCAGG